ATTCCCATTTTCCCATTCCCATTTCCCCATTCCCATTCCCATTCCCATTTCCTCATTCCCATTCCCATTCCCATTTCCTCATTCCCATCCCCATTCCCATTTCCTCATTCCCATCCCCATTCCCATTTTCCCATATTCCCATATTCCCATATTCCCATATTCCCATTCCCCCATTTCCCCCCGGGGCTGTTCCGTACCCTCCTGGAAGAGCTGTTTGGCGTAGGACGCCTGTCGGCCCTGCGGCTGGAAGAAGGCGTAGATGCATTTCCGGACCAGATCCTCCCATCCCGCCCGGCCCCCGGCGCGCAGCGAGCTCGTGTCGATGGAGATGATCTTCCCTGGAAATCAGGACATTCGGAAATGTGGGAATTCTGAAACGCGGGAATGGCGGGAAATCGGGGAAATTCGGAATCGCGGGAATGGTGGGAAATGTGGAAATGGTGGGAAATCAGGAAATTTGGAAATGTGGGAATGGTGGGAAATGGGGGACAGCGGGAAATCAGGGAAACTAGGAAAGGCGGGAATGGCGGGAAATGGGGAACGGCGGGAAATCGGGGAAATTTGGAAACGTGGGAATGGTGGGATATGGGGAATGGCAGGAAATCGGGGAATTCAGAAATGTGGAACGGTGGGAAATCAGGGAATGGCGGGAAATTGGGAAACAGCGGGAAATGGGGAAATGGTGGGAAATTGGGGAAATTCAGAAATGTGGGAATGGTGGGGAAATGGGAAATCGGGAAATTCGGAAACACGGGAATAACGGGAAATTGGGAAACAGCGGGAAATGGGGAACAGCAGGAAATCGGGAAAAATTTGGAAACGCGGGAATGGTGGGAAATGGGGAACGGCGGGAAACTGGGGAAATTTGGAAACGTGGGAATGGTGGGAAACGGGGGAAATCGGGGAATGGCGGGAAATGGGGGGAATTCAGAAACATGGGAATGGCAGGAAATCAGGGAAATTCGGAAACGCGGGAATGGCGGGAATTCGGGGAAATTCGGAAATGCAGGAATGGTGGGAAATCGGGGAATGGCGGGAAATGGGGGAAATTTGGAAACGCAGGAATGGCAAGAAATGGGGAATGGCGGGAAATCGGGGAAATTTAGAAATGCAGGAACAGTGGGAAATCGGGAAATTCAGAAACATGGGAACGGCGGGAAATGGGGAAACGGTGGGAAATCGGGGAAATTTGGAAATGCGGGAACGGTGGGAAATGGGGAAACGGTGGGAAATCGGGGAAATTCAAAAATGCGGGAAAAGGCAGGAAATGGGCACTGGGGGAAATGTGGAAATTCGGAAAGGTGGGAAACGGAGGGAAATCGGCACGAGGGGAAATCGGGAAACGGCGGGAAATCGGCACGGGGAAAGCGGGAGAATTGGGAAGTGGAGAAATGGCGGGAAATGGGGAAACGGCGGGAAATTGGCACAGGGGAAGGCGGGAAAAGGGGAGAAAGGTGGGAAATTGGGGCAATTCAAAAATCAGGAAAAGGTGGGAAATCAGGAGGGGGGAAAGCGGGAAAAGCGGGAGAAGGTGGGAAATGGGGAAAGGTGGTGCCCAGAATTCCTGGAATTTCCAGAATTCCCAGAATTTCCCGAATTCCCAAATTTCCCGGGTGTACCTGTGGTGTCCTGTTTGGTGACGAAGGACTCAGCTGGGGCAGGCGCCGGGCGCGGGAGCCTCCGGGCGATGCAGATCAGGCACGACTGGAAATCTGGGAACGGGAAAATCCGGGAATGACACGGAATTCCAAGGGAAAAAATCCGGGAATGATGTGGAATTCCCGGGGAAAAATCCCAATCGCAATCCTAATCCCAGCTTTCAAAATCCCGATCTTGATCCTGATCCCTTTCCCAAATCCCAACCTAACCCCAATCCTGTCTTTCCAAATCCCAAATCGTAATCCCAAATCTCAATCCTGGCTTTCCCAATCCAAATCCTGATTCTGATCCCGATCCCGATCCCAAATCCAACCCTGACTTTGACAATCCTAGACCCAATCCTGATCCCAAATCCTAACCCCAATCCTGGTTTTCCCAATCCCACATCCCAATCCCAATCCCAATCCCAATCCCATCCCATCCAATTCAGCCTCCGGGTGATGCAGATCAGGCATGACTGGAAATCTGGGAATGGGAAAATCCAGGAATGAGGCAGAATTGTGGGGTTTTGTTGAAATATCACTGTTGGCATGATTCCCAATCCCATTGACCCCGTAAATACCATAAATCCCCCAAATCCCATAATCTCACCCTCTCCATCATCCCGGAAGGCCCGGGGCTGTGCCACAGTGAAACACTGCATCAGTTCATAGCGCTGCTGTGCCTCACCCCATCCCAATCCCATTGATCCCATTGATCCCAT